TTTGGGCTCATTGTGTGATTGAAAAGTACCGCTTAGACTGAAAGGAAAATTTTATAAGATGGAGGTGAGACCTGCAATGCTCTATGGCGTTGAACGTTGGCCTTTTAAAGAGAAGCAAAATACTAAGTTAAGTGTTGTCGAGATGAAAATGATTAGGTGGATGAGCGGCTATACACTTAGAGACAAAATGTTAAACGAATATATTTGTGATAGGGTTGTTGTAGCTCTAGTGATGGACAAAATTAGAGAGAGTTTTTCGTCTTAGATGGTTTGGTCATATTCAACGTCGACCATCTGATGATTTGATTAGGAGAGTAGTTGTTTTAGATTCAACTTATGTTAAGAAAGCCAGAGGCAGACCTAAGAAAACTTGGGCGAATTGTATGAAAAATGATCTTAATTTATTAAAATTAAATGAAAATATGACACAAAATAGAACGCAATGGAGAAAAATAATTCATTTAGCCGACCCCACTTAGTGGGATTAAGGCTTTGTTGTTTTTGTTGTTTGTTGTTATAAAGATTCTTCTCTTAGACTCCCTGAGAGTCATTTTATATTTTTCTCAATTCTTTAAGTTTTTACATTTAAACTAATTTTTATAACATAAATTCTTATATTTTATCTTTTCTTGCAAATTATTATTCCACCACCAACTATTTTTATTAATGAAAACTAATTCTTTTGATTCTCCAAGTACATCTTTTCTCTTGTTTAATAATGTTTATTACTTTATCTTACATAGAAATTGCTTCTTCATGAACATCCCAAATCTTAAAATCTTGAAGTTTACTCATAAAAATAATATTATTTATTTTTTAAGTGCCCCATCTAATTCTACGACAATGATTTCTAGTGCTCTTTATTTTACAACTCTTCATCTTAAAATCTAAAATTAATAATCGACGTCGAGTACTTAAATCATCATTTGGAATAGTTTTACAATCTTAACAACCTCGACGATCTCTTCTACTCATACGAAAATAATTAATTTGTGTTTTATTAAATCTATTCTTATAATTAATAATATGCTCATCTATTTTCTTGAAAAAGGTATTAGCGATAACAAAATCACACGCTAAAGTAAAATCTAATATGGCGATACTTTCTTCATTAATCACTCCAAAACCGTAGCCACCATGAATATTTCTAAAATCTTCTACAACTCTATCGACATGTCCATTTAAATCTCTTCCAATAAAGATACTTTCTTCAAGAGGTATCATTTTTATTAAGTTTTTTAAATCATTCTAGTATTTTTCTTTAAAACCTATATCTAAACCTACTTGAGGGGCATATGCACTTAAAATATTAAAAATAATAGTATCAACAATAATCTCAAAGGCTATAACTTTATCCCAATGCTATTAATTTTTATAATATTATCTTTCAAACTCTTATCTATAATTACACCACCATTTCTAGTGTGACTCTTACCTGAATTCCAAAGTTTAAAATCTAAGTTATCAATCTCTTTAGCATTTCTCCAACACATTCTAATTACACCTACACCATTTCTAGTGTGGCTCTTACCTGAATTCCAATGTTTAAAATCTAAGTTATCAATCTCTTTAGCATTTTCTCCAACACACTTAGTTTCTTGAATACATGAGATATTTATCTTTTTATGAATCATAAAATCAACTAATTCTATTAATTAACTTGTTAGTTTCATGGACTAACTTCTTTACCCACATCCGTCCGTAATATAGGAACCCATACTTAATTGACACTACACCTGGGCATCGGTATAGCAACCCTTACACCATTTTCACTGTATTCAGGTCATACAATGCGTCAGCTTCCAAGGATTGTCCTAACATTTACACAATGATCAAAAGAATCATGTTATGATTTTTCGACAAATTTTACGTCGAATGTCGACTATCTAACGCAACTCTCCATTTTTTACATTCGGGGCTTGGGACCCAACAATGGCAATGTTAAGAAATTTATGAAGCATTTAAATTACAAATACATTATATTATCATTTCCTGACATAAGTTTTTTATTATAAATTTTAAGTATTTACTATTATAGTAATTTTTAGATCGCATGTCTCGTTTCTTAATTATTTATTCATGAGAAACAGAGATGCTCTTTATTTTTCTTTAGTATAAGAGTTTTGCATTAGATTTGTTTATTAGATGAGTTTTATAACTCATTAGATTGTTTAACTACTCTTATTGGGCAAAAATAAAAGGTTAAAGCTAAACAAGATCATACCCATAGTACATATATTATAAAATAGAAAATTTTTTGTAAAGACATCAGATAAAATTTATATTTTTTTAAGAAATTTAATAGACTTTAGATGCTCTACAGCTATATTTGAATTTTTTGTTTTGAATTTCTTCCACTTAATTCAAATAGTTGAGTTTACTTGATTTGTATAAAATAATGTAATGTATTGTGTTGTTCCAAGTGAATTTAGAAATTTAAGTTTCTCTCTCATTTTACCTAGGCGAGTAGGATACCATAACAAAAGTTAGAGGCAAATTCAGTTAGCTCAATCACACCCATCTTCGTTACATCATGCATAGTGGAGATGAAAATGTACAATGAACTCAATATTGACCGCGCAAGAATAGGAAATATAAAAATTGACCAATAGTTTGGATTGCACAAGTTAAAGTGAGGGATGGAGGCCAAAAAGAAATTTAGTACCCAGTAACTCTTTATTTTGATGTTTTTAAATATTAAAATAAATGGTAAAAAAAAGGTAGTGAAGTACTATAGTAATCCTACAAAGACAAACTTCTATTGAAGAGAAAAAACCAGTCATATTATAAAGAATAGAACCTTGAAGGTTTATAAAGAATGGATCCCGGGCATTTACCGTACTCAAAGAAAACGGAGTGAAAAAAATCCGACATAGCCTTTACAGTCTCACAAAATATGAATGCATAGGTAATAGAGTGTACAGAAGACCATCTGAGAATGGTAAAATCAGATGCTCGGTATTAATAAGTTTAATGGTATATTCAGGAGGCATCAAGATTATAAATTTTATCAAGCAATCAATAAAAAAATATTAAACCTTAAAATACCATAAACGCCTAGGATGAATGCAAATTATATTTGAATGAAGATGTTTAGAACATAACACTAAGGATTCAAAATACTTCATCCTTTAACAAGGTACACAACTACTAGAGTCTTACTGATACAATTACAAGCACAACGGGAAAATCCTTATATTCATTCTGAGCTATGTTCACAAAGCAAGGCTCCTAACCTTATAAAAGTACGCAAGGAAATAAAGCTTAAAGAATGCTCAAACCATGTGTAAAGTTGGGTATGTTATCGAAATTAAATTCTACGTATAAATCGTGTCACGCTGATCTTTCTTCCTTACTTTGGAGTCCTTCTCCAAGCATCAGACTCCATACAGTAAATTTATTTACAAGTGTGAAAAGCCCACAAAAGGGAACAATATATGGAAAGGAAACGCTTCCATTCAATCATCAACAACACGGGCCATTATTTATAGACTACAATAAAAGGTGGCCCAAAAGTGTGAAATGGTAAGGGATACTCAAGGAGTAGTGAAGGAAAGGAGTAACGAAAGAGAAGTTTTGAAAAACTCATATTTGTTTTAAGAAGACTTCAAGGTTAAGCATTCAATTTTAAGTCAATATCAAGCCTTCATAATGACAATTATTAACTCCAAGAAAAGAAGAGAGACAAAGGGATGGCCAAGCCACGTAGCACTTTTTGAAGCAAACAAAGTTTAATTCACTCGTAGAAAAAGGTACAACACAAAGTAATTGCATAAAATTGATCGATCAAAAGATCTAAAAATAAAGCATATCAATAAGACTGACAAGAGAAGAACAATGAGCCAACTTCCCAATAATAAGGACTACAATAGCGCTCATGACTAACTTGAAGCTTGGTATAGAGTTATGATATATTTTCTTGTTATTTCTTCCCCACTTGACATATAGAACTTGAAAATTCTGACCCATTAGCTCTTATGTGCTAGAAATGCTAATATTAAAGCTCACCGAAACAAGAGTCCAAGTCATCAAAATCCCCAACAGCAATACAATGAACAGAAGTAAAAACCTAACGTGGGCCTGGAACATTATGTTGTGAGCATGTGTGAAGTCATTCTTAATGATTGGGTTAACAATCCAGAAAGGTACTAATTCTATGGACAAATCTAAAGTTAATTCAATTTTTTTTAGTACAAACTAGGCCAAAATAAGAACTACAGCCATTGCATCGGCATATGGTTTTTAATAGATGAATGCTCCTCATTGCCTTTATTGCTAGAATATATTTTTGCAGCTCAAGGTGTGCTCTTAAGAATTTTGAAAATTTGTGACAAGAAATTGTGGGAAAAAAGAAAAAAGTAGGAATGCATACATCCATTTAACTTTGATCAGTCACCGCTACTTATGAGCCAATTCAAATTTCTTTCTCTTAAGAGGAAGTAAAACAGCATCCACCTGAACTAGTTTGCCAAAATTTAAGCCAAGAGAGAACAAAATAGATTTGTTGAAGTAATGAATCCAAAAAAGAGAAAAAATAAACAGCACTCAAGTAATCGGAACTTCCATAGAATAGTTGAATGAAGTATTTATCATCATTCTCCTATATCCATAAGGCTTAAACCAAGATAGTTTAAAAAAGTTTTTATTTTATAGTATCTATCATTCATTGGACATCACATCCTTCGTTATCCTGTTACCTTTGTATTCTCCTTTTTTGCTTGGTAAATCTTCGCAAATTCCCTTGTGCTGTAACAGTGTGTTTTGAAAAAAAACTAAATAGCAATTACAATATCAATAAACCTAAGTTAAAGAAATAACACCAAAAAGGCACTAAGCATTTCAATAGTTTGAACGACAGCCACAACAGGATGTTAAAATACAACCAAAAAAATGTGGCAAGGTGAAGCGAGACATATAATCAATTTACCTTATAAAGCATATAATTTAAATCCACAAAATAAACAAGAAATTTTATTTATCATAAACACATCAAATCATACCTCCCAAGCAGCTGGTTCAAGCCATATATTATCAACCATATCATAGTTTGGTAGAAGAATAGCAATAAGACCACGACCAGCCGCCCAAACAGCATGTGGAAATTTCTCTTGCCATGTCCACTAGAAAAAGTTTAAGCAGTCGTGAATGAAAAACCAAATAAAGCAAAATAGCTCAGTAACAATAGTAAACTAAAACGACAGACTACCACGGAATGATTTTTTTCTGAAGTAACAAATAAGCAGACACCTTAGTATGACAGCATTAATAATCTTTGCTTTGCATTCAAGTACGAAGTAACCAAACGCATAGTCAAAATCATCAACAATCCACAACAATTTCCAAATGATAATTGTTTAATTACCACAACTCTAAACTAAAACTGTTAGCAACAGAACGGAAGAAAAAACAAAACCAAAATAATACAAGTGTGCAAAGCATACGAGACTAACAAGTCTCTTGTACTTGGTAAATTAGTTGGTGCACAAGGCTCTGGTGATGAGATACATCTAAACGTACAGGGAGTTGGACTTTCCAACGAGACAAAAAAGAGGAGCAAGTAGAAAAGCTTACTCTGCATTAAGTGCTCGCCCTCTTTCTCACAAACATATATATTCACATTTTAAAGCTAAATAGGATATTTTGATTTTCCAAGTTTGGAAATGCAACTTCATTTAAATTCCATCCATCTTCATGAGTTAGACATTGCAAATAAAATATAGTGAGATTAATTGATAACATGCATTTCTGATTTAATCCCTAAAAATTAGAATTTTTGTGGTTATCTTTATAAACTTTTTTCCAGGCCATCTTCTCTCACTTAAAATCCCCATATTATGGAGGTCAACTTTAGAGTTTAAAAGATTTCATTTGAGTAGATCTAAAACTAAATACATGGAATGTAATTTTAGTAGTAGAAGATCTAGTAGTGGGGTTGTAACATTGGGTGATCGAGTAATTAAAAAGAGTGAACGATTTAGATAACTCAGGACTATTGCTCAAAGTGATGCTAATAAAAATGGTGATGTTATTAATAGAATTGAAGTTCGATGGTTGAAGTGGAGAACTGCATTATGCATGTTATGTGATAGAAAAGTAATGTTTAAACTCAAAGAAAAAGTTTATAAAGATGGTGGTGAGACCTGCAATGCTCTATGGCGCAGAATGTTGGACTATAAAAGAAAAACATAAAATTAAGTGTTGTTCCGATGAGAATGCCCATGTGGATGAGCGGCTTTACACTTAGAGAGAAAATGCAAAATAAATATATCCATGAAACGGTTGGAAGCTCTAGTGGCAGACAAAATTAGAGAGAGTCGCCTTAGCTGGTATGGTCACATTAACGTCGACCATCTGATGGCCCGGTTAGGAGGTAGATGTTTTAGATTTTACTTATGCTAAGAAAAGTAGAGGTAGACCTTAAAAAAATTTGGGCTTAATGTATAAAAAATTATCTTGATTTATTAGAATTAAATGAAAATATAAAATTTAATAGGACAAAAGAGAAAAAGAAATCATGTAGCCGACCCCAATTAGTGGGATAAATGCCTATTGTTCTCATCGTTGTTTGCTTTCTTTTCCTTAGCTTAAAAATAATGCTAAAATATATTATTGATGTTTTCTTTTCCTTAGTTGTTTGTCCTTCAACATTTGTCATAAATGTAGAAAAAACAAGTCAAGGATAAGGGAGCAAAATTTACCGAATTCATTCCCTAATTTTGATACACCAAAAATATCAAAAATATATACATTTTTGACCCATATTTTATGCTCATTTTTTATGATATTGCACTTTAAAGGAAGTATTTTTCATGTTTTATCGCAGGTTTTTGATTTATAGGACTTGGAGCAAAAAGGAAGCAAAAATGATGGAATTTGGAGTCAAAATAGAATTTTTGAAGAATTGTTCGGCGCCGACGGCGCTAGACTGGGCGTTGACGGCGTCGTTTGACAGAGAACGCAGAATTAATTACGGGTCACTGGTGTCGACGGCGTCGTTTGACAGAGAACGCAGAATTAATTACGGGCCACTGGTGTCGACGGCGCCAGTGTCGGTGCAGGCCCTGTTTCTAGAAGATTCGACGAATTTGGACGTTTTTTGAAGAATTTTTGGATGCACATATTGGAAAGCTGACCTTAGGCTTTATTTAGAGCCGAAATTGATCATAAAAGGTTCTCTCTTCCTCCTCTTCACACTCCTCTGCTCGCTATTCGCCCCCTTTGACGCCACTTCGCAATCTTCAACCGATTTCTACGTCATTCCACATCATTAGTTAGTTATTTTCTTTATAGTTTTGAGTTTTTATGGTGAGTTTAAGTGTGAATTCTTCTCTAAGAGTCTTAGAGAGGGAGAGATGTGAAAGATTTCTTCTTCCTACATTTCCTAAGAGAGACTACAAGGGATTTGTTTTGAGAAAGAGTTTCAGATAAGTGTTATTTGTTTATTATAGTTGTATAAACTTTCTTTTATATATAAAATTTGTTTTTTTTGTATTTTTCTCATGAAGTCTGAGTAGTTTCGTTTATCTTTCTTCCTACTCTGAGATAAGGTGAAATGAAGAGATAATTTGGATGTGTCAATGTTAAAATATAAAATATAAAATGAAATGTTAAAATATGTTGTGAAACATATGATCCGGGAAATGGAGTATGAGTTCTACAATAGAGTGAGAATCACACTTAAGTCCATGAATGAGTATTTCGTTCATGGAATTCAATGCCAATAAATAGGGAAATATATATTGTTGAGTGTAGAATTAGATATTTTTAAGGTGACAGACTAAAATCCACAATTCGATCTTAGTGTTTAAGAACTAAAGTGAAACTTAGCCTTCAAGGAAAGGGAAGTGGGAGCTCTAGAGTGAAGCCACGGACTTAGGGACTAAACCTAAGATTAGCCAATGATTTTCTATAACAATGAATCAGGATAGAGGATTAAAATTGCTCCTAATTGGCACAATACAAATTTAAACCATTTATCTCATCTCATTTCACCAAAAAGCTCATTGTAGTGAGAAAGATGTTTTTCATATTAGAAAACTTCATCACATAAACATAGTTTAGTAGTTACTATTTTAAACTTTGCATTTAAATTTTACTAGTAGTTAATAATTTAGTTCTGATAGTATCTCAAACATTCAAAATTAGTGACAGTAATTTCGTTTTATTTCTGTGAATTTGTTAGTTAATTTATCATTTCAAATTTAAACCTTCTTTGTGGGAACAATATTTGGGGCTTAAATAGAAAGTCTTATATTACTTGATAATGATACGTATACTTGCGTAGAATCCCTACATTAAGTGCTTAATGTTCTTATTCATAAAATACCACATCTAGTTTTTGGCATCGTTGTGAAGCGAAGTCAACTTTATAAATTTTACACAACTAATATTCTCGGGATCACTTATCGAAAACATTATTCGCCATAATTCAAAAACTACAATTGTCCGTCTCTAAGTTCAAATCAAAAAAAGAAGAGTTTTGATGTGGACCAACAGCCAATATAAATATATCCCAAAACCAATGAAATAAATCTAATTTTGTATCGATAATGCAAGCGCAATCCTAAAAAGTTGCCTTCCATGAACAACCCTGATTGAAGTGAAAAACTTGGCACGGATTTGTAGAGAAATCATCTGAAACCGTAGTTAGCCAAATAATAATGGGAAAGTAAATATTACTACAGAAAGTAAAAATGTGAATACAGCAAAACTCACTTAAAAGGGAAAACAACAAACACGACACAGACATCTCCACAAGGGATTGATCCAACGGTTGTGGTGGAGGTTGTTGGGGATTGGGAAAAAGTGACGGTAAGATAGGGAAGTGGAGCAAGGGGGCGAGTACATCTTGCTGTCCTGGATGACAGCACGAAGGTAGGATGGTCGGGCAGCAATGAAACAGCAAAGCGAAAGGGTTTCGGAAAGGTGGCAATGAGGTAGGATGATAGGACAGCAGAAAAATAGAAAGGTGACGGAGTTGTCGGGCTCTAGAAGCGGTGCAAAATGGCTGGAATTGCGGGACGGCGGCAGCAACGCATGATGTCTAGAAAGGCTAGAATTGATGTGGGAGAGCTGTCCCGAGAAGCAACAGCAAAGGTGTGGTTGTTCCAGAGCAACGACAACAAAATATGGGTGGATTATGGGTGCTGGTAGCAAGGCGAAGTGGGAAGCAAGGTGCCTAGAAGTTGGGCTCCAGTTGAAAGGGAGGAGTGTGGGTTTTGGAAGGCGGTAACAAGGTAGAGTGCAGAAAAAGAGCCAAGGATGATTGTTTTAGGGTAGCTGCAACATGTACGTCAATAGTGACAGTGAAGGAAGGGAAAATTGAGAACATTTATCATCTCGAAATGTAATATATTCAGAGCGCCACTCATCCTTGGATACAGGCTTAGATGGGGAAATCGGAGACGCCGAAGGTTGCCCCTATAGAAAACACACTAAAAATTGAGAATTCAAACTCTAACACAACACATGTAGGAAAAGACAAAAAAGAAAGGAATGATAAAAGCATGTCGAAAATTGAGAAGGAATCAAAAGGGGAGCCACTCGAATCGACTATGAGCAGTTCGCACGACCAAGATGTCGCAATCAGTCTAGGTTGCGAGAGACAATAGCAACAGCCTCCTGAGTTAGTAAAGCTTGGACCTCATCAGTCAGAGCTTCAGTCACCTAGTAGTATGGTGTTAGGTTGACCATGTTGAAAAGAAATGGCATAATCTCCTAGTAAGTAAGTCCTGTAGGAGTTGTCATTCCAAAGCACATCCTGATAGACTAAATATACATCCTCTTTTGGAACAATTAGAGCTGGAACTGCATATCGACAAAGATTTTCATAAAGTAACTCTCAAGCCATTAAATCTATAATTCGCTTCTTCTACTCCTTGCACTCAGCGAGGAGCATCTCATAAACAAATTTATCTAAAGGAACTAACTTTGGATTGAAATCTATGACAAATTGGGCAACTCTCAATAACGCCACTCATGAGAAATATCTTCTTCTCTAGTCTTTACCCATTATCACCTATCGTTATCATTATTAGTGTAACTGCTATGATAATAATAATTATTATTTTGTAATAACAATAGGTCAATTATGTTACACCTAATTTAATAAATAATTAGA